TCAGGGGACAGATCACTATGACTCCGCCTATGATTCACTTGTCCTTATCTAAGTTGGTACTATCCACCAAGGCTACCTATCTACAAAATCTATGTATTCAGCCTGGCAATTTTCCACTAAAGCTGCTTGTTTACACTAGTTTCTAGGCATCTGTTTCAGTGTTTGTCCACAGAGACCCAAGGCCTTGTGTTAGTAGGCATGTATGTCAGGCCTATTGCTGATTTTAGGTCTTCAGTGTATAAGAAGGGCTGCCCCTGACATACATACATAAATTTTATGTATATATATACACACACATATATATATATATATATATGTGTATATATATATGTGTGTATATATATACACATATATAAATACATATATATAAATATATATACATACATATATAAATACACATATATATGTATATATATGTGTGTGTGTGTGTGTGTGTGTGTGTTGCAGAGGACCTGAGTTCAGTTCCCTGCATTCACATGGCAGCTGACAACCATCCATAACTCCAGGTCCAGGGGATCTACAGTCCTCTTCTGGCCTTTTCCTTCAGCCATGTGGTAAACAGACATAAATGCAGTCAAACCACTCACACGTAAAACAAAGTACATAAACCTAAAAATTAAACAAATAGTAAAAGCTTAAAAGAGAAGAGCAACAAGTTGGGTGAATTCCGAGAGAGTTGGAGGAGAGTAGATATTATTATACTTAATCATATACACATATGAATTGTATACATGTGTGAAATTCTCAAAGAATAAATAAAATGCAACAACCAAGAAGCTGTATTTAAAAATATACTTTAGTTGCTCATACAATGTTTGTACAAGTTTTCAGAATCTACTAAGTCATCTGCATGGCAGCCCTGACATGGCTGTTTCAATATCACGTGAAAAAGTATCAACATCATCACACAGAATAAAGTAAAACTGAGAGAACTGATGCTAGAATTTCATGCAAAAAGTCTTTGATAGGTAACCTACACATGACATATTTCAAGAAATTCATTAGCTTCCATTCATATGTGATAGACAATGGAAATATATTATTTTATCATTATTGTCTTCTAACTGTCCTTGAGGATCCAAAATCTGTACCAGGCAGCAAACTGAGAATACTATCTCCGTGCTTCAAAGAACAGTGTTTGCTTTTAAAAGAAAATGGAGGACAATGGTCTCCCTGTGAAAATACGTCACCATAAATCCCCATAAATATGGATAAAACATGTTAGGTGAGAAATAGGAATAGAAATGAAGATGCTGTGAACCTGAACCATCATGCTTTGTATTTATTGATATAATTCATTATTTTGTAATCCTAGTTCATGATGTTTATGCATACAGAGAAATAACAAAAAGAGAATAACAAAAATAAAAATAAATAAATCTAGGGCATGGGTTCTGTGTGCAAATGCAAGGTAAAGCACAAGTTGATGCTTATGTAAATCAACATTGTTTGCAATACGAATGTCTTGAGGGGACTAAAGTAAATTAAGTGATGAGATGACATCCTTTACACAGTTAGCAACATACAATAAATTAAAATGAAATAAAAGTTTTAAGAATGTGAAGAGAAATGAAAAGAAAGATGATTTTAGTTTACTAGTGATTCAGGCTAAATCAGAAAAAGCAGAAAATATAGGATATTTTTTTTGCAACCTACTTTTAATAAGGGTTCAACTTTTCTTCTAGCCACCCAGCAGAGGTTGTAGGAGAGAAAAGCTGTTAGGACATGGGGGAAGTGGACCTGTTCAGCAATAGTGCTTTGGGGGCAAAGTGAATCTTTTTGGGCAGCAGTGCAGTGCCAAATAAAGTAAACACCAAATACAATTCAGCAACTGCAGACCAGTCCTCTAGACAGGCAGACACTTAGACACGAACCAGCAGCTGTAGTTCAATCATAAAGAAAATGCAAAGGTCGCCAACTGGTCTGAGGCAAGGCCACAGAAGCAGCAAGCTGCCCGAGGAACCTCAGGAGCAGTTCTTGGGCGAGTTTCTCTAAGTGGCAAAATTATTAAGTTGAACTCAGCAATGCTATTATGTAAGACAAACCAATACATGCATGTCTTTAGCAAAGAACAATGAGACAGAGCAAACCAATGCTCAGTGCCTGTCTTCCACCGTCTGTGGGGTCATGATGGACTCTTCATCATGTGTCCTTTTACATGTTTGTTATATCACAACATTCTTTCACTGTGTCTGCTTTATGGAAACATTCTTTCCTGTGTCTGACTCAGCAAAACATCATTTGAAATAACTAACTTTCCAAAGAAACTAGAAGTTTCTACTTCAAGAAGCAAATATAAGAGACTTTCTTTTTTAAGTATTATAAGTAATCTAATACAAGTTGAAATACTAGTGAAGCAAAAAAAACGAAGTTCTTTTGCCAAAAATGTCCAAAAATATTTCACAAATATTTTATAAACACAGAAAGACAAGTTATAATACTAGTCAATTTTCTAAGTGGATTGCTAAATAGTTCAAGATTTCTTTAAGCATTTAAACTTCATCAGTAACTGTAAGATCACTCCAAAACTATTATTTTATTACATGTAAAACAAAAGCGAAATTTTGCAAAGGTATTTTTAATCCAGAGAATTTATAATCACTACAAATCATTGAAAACAACTCTTCATTTAATGGTGAATAAGAATGAAAATAAATCAATCAGTCTACAGGAAAATTAAATGGAAATTAGATAAATTCAATGAAAGAGAATGAGAAAGATGTATAAATATAATCATGATGATTAGATAAGTAAGTGGAAAGTTAATTTTTTTGTAATTTTTAATAACTATTCTACACCAAACATTATCCAAGACTTATCATGTATCATGCACAATTTTCTTCACAATTATCTCCCTAGTACAACTATTAATGTGTCACCTGAATGGTGAGGAACTGAAATATTAGTTAACAAAAGTTCCTTGCTGTAGGGTGCATACTCTACACAGTATATGTGTGTGAATCACAAGTACATATGAGGGTTACATGCAAGGCTTTGACTCATTCAGTGTTCTCCTCAGTCTACAAACTTAGATGAGTAACAAAACTTGCTATGTGATTGTTTGAAGTTAGAAATCTGAGATGGTTCGGAAATCTTAAAAACATGATGCTAGAATGGTGGTTTCCTCAGAGCTCTTGGGGATAACTCCTTATTTTTTGGCTCTGGCCCCTGTCACATTTCCTGGCTCTCTGTCTTCTTCCTTCTTTAAAGCTGGTAACGGCCACCCAAGCCCTTCTCCCCAGCACTGATCCTGCCCTGCTGGGTTTCCCTGAAATCCTTGTAAGCATTTTTGATTATGCTAAAGTTGTCTAGACAACTCAATGTAATTTCTCTTAAGGCCAATTAATAAGCAGATTAATCCTATCTGCATCTTTCATTTTTAAATATATTCTATAGTACATTTACAGGTTGCAGAGAATAGGATATGACTATATATGATTTGTCTACCATCACAGTAAGCCATAACACTCTCTTACATCTTGCCTCTTTGAAACTAAAATGCATAATTTAATATGATTTTAAAAAGAATGAAAGAAATGACAGTCCCTGAAAAAGTTATTCAGAGGTATGGTTTTCACAGACTGAGATACTCTTTAAAACTATCATGCTGTGGGAAGGATGGAGAAAATATTTTGGGCAGTTACAAAATATGAAAACTACATAAAGAAACATATGCAAAATATGAAAATAAATGCTTTTCATAAAATACTATTAATTTTAAAAATTTTATTGCTTCTTTGTGAATTTTGCATCAGGCACGCTAATTCTACTCTTGTCCCCATACCCTTGTACCCACCGTCCCCCCTTGCAACCTAAAGACAGAAAAACACCTCGTTATGGAAGCTACAGTGTATCACACCCAGACCCATAGTATTCCATTTTGGTCTACACTTCTTTTATTGCAAATCTTCACTATAATGGCGTCTGATAGGGGCCTCTGGCTTCTGCTAATTACTTTATCAATATTGGAATTTTACTGGGACTCCAGTGCAGTATCTTGTTGTTGCTCTGTGTCATGGAGATCCTCTTGTTTTTGGATTTGTAGGATCTTCATGCATTCCAGAAGTTCAAACATGGGGTAGATGACAGGATGGGACAACTCATAGATCTGGATCTGGGCTTGAGAGGGATCTGAGAGAATCGGTCCACCAATTCTTCCACTCTCAAGCCCAGAAGGCCAGCTCACCAGCAATCCCTGCAACCAGGACCAGCTCTTCCCTGCTGCCCAGGTGAGGTGCAGGGCCCGCTTTCTGAGTGCTGCAGTGGGTGAAGTGCAGGGCCCGCTCTTACTACTATGACACCAGGGCCAGGTAGGAAGGGGTAAGAAGAGAGTGGAGGAGGGGAGAGAGTATCTCTCCCTTGTCCATGCCAGCACAGGAAGACAAGTGGTAGGGCCAGCTTTCCCATGCTCTCCGCGGTATTGCAGCTCTGTGGTTGGCAGAAGGGCAGAGTCAGCTCTCCTGCTCTCTTTCACAGTGTCCAGGTGAGGGACAGGACTGGTTCTGGGCAGCCGTCACACTTCAATATGTCCCCAGGTGGCTACCCTGAACAGGACCATCTGCCTGGCCTTTGATGGTAAAGGGTGACTACTGCTTCATGGCCATGTACCCCTCCCCTCACACCCCAGCCCCACAGCAGCACAAGGCAGGACCCCACCACGATCCTAGGTGGCATCATTGGCTGTGGGATGATTCACATCAAGCTTTTGGTCACTTCCCTTGAATCTCCAGTTCTGCCTTTCACTGTGCCCAGATCCTTCTGTTTCTCTTTCTCTTTCATTTATCCACCATCTACTTGTTCCTTTTAGTGGCACCTGGGGTCTCTGAGCGTCTGGGGTTGTGTCAGGAGTGGTCTCGGGAGTATTATGTCTCTCTTGCAAATTATGATACCAGGAAGAGGTCATCTTGAGCAGACTGGTCCCAGATGAGAGAGATATAGTCTCCAGCTAGCTACTTGTTCTGGGAGCCTGTATAGGCCTCCCTGGTACCTGACTGGTGGCCAATCTCAGGCTAGCTCTCTGTCCGGGTACTCTGGCGCCAGACTCATAGATATAGCTTCCCTCCTCTCTGCCACCTACTGACACACATGTGACACGGCAGCCATATCTGCAAGGCCTCTAGGGTTAAGGCAATTTTATCAGGTGTTTGTTTGTTTGTTTGTTTTTTTAAATTAATGAATCACAGTAAAATTCTCATGATAAGAAGCTTATGGAAACTGGAGCCTTATTCCTAAGAAAAGGAAAAATTCGGTTATTTTATAAACTGTAAAATATCTTCAAGGAGTAGTTGCTAGGGTATTTCAATGTTTTCAGAAATAAAGGAAAAAGAAAAACTTTAAAAATCTAACAAAGAAAACTAAAAATGATTATATCAATCTAAGTTATGAACACAGATGAAAAATGCTAATTATCAGCAAACAGCATCCAGCTGAATTGTAAAGACATCGTTTATCGTGGCCACTGGGGCTTGTTCATAAATGCAAGAATGAATCAATACTAAGAAATACATTAATCACTTCATTTTCACAAACCTAATGAAATAGGTTAACTATGCTTATGTAAATTTGATTGAAAACAATGATCATTTATGGCCCAAACATATGAACCACATATCTCAGCCATAATGTACTGTTAGATAGCCAACACAGTTTAGGATATATGGATAATTACAACTATTTTAAAATAAAGACACACTTTCTCTTTATTTTGTAGAAAATAATTTATGTATTTTTTCAGTAAAAGCATAAGAAAAGCTGACAGACATGTGTCAGAAGAGCAATAAACATAGATTTAGCATCTGATAGATAGCTGGGTGTGTCACTGCCATTAGTAATTGTTTAATTTTGTATAGAAGGTTAACTTCAGTGAGTTCCCACTGGATAGATTGAAATGTAATAGTTCCATATGCCTAACTTTTATTTTGAAACATTTTGGATTGTAGACATGAAACATGAGAAACACTCATTACTGCTATTTATATTTCTCCTATTTTTCAGATATTTTGCACAATTAAGTATAATTGTCTAAAAATAGTAGATGTAAACTAATACTATATGTTCATAAATTTAAGTAAAAACAAAAACGAGAACACCCAGCTTCTCTTTTGTTTTTTAAAACATAAACATTGCATCATTCTTTATGTCATGAAATTGATCCCCTAAATTACATATTAAGGTATATAAGAAAGCAAATCAAAAGAAATCAATTATCAGTACAAGAAAAATATGTCTTATTGTTTCAATTAGTGTTGATTCAACTGATTGACCAACTGAAAAGTCCTGATTGAAACAATGACTCTTTGATGGAGATGCTGTTCCACATGTTTTTACTTGATGAATCTGTGAGTTAGTACAGTACCTGTCACAAACATTTGTCATGGACATAAGCAACTGATTAGGTTAAGGGACTGGAGGTCACTTTTGCCACACTGAGATTATTGTAATAGAAAGAGTGGAACGACTTTAGATGGTTATCCTTGGAGATTTTTGTACTGGCACCATTACTAACATAATTGTAGAGAAGATATTGAAAAATAAAATAAAATATTGAAAATAAAATAATCATAGCACGTAATAAACATCATGTTCAAATAAATGAATTCACATAGATTTGTCTCCAAGCCTATCTTTTAATAGGGAACTAATTAATAATTCATATCATCCTTTTCTATAATGTTTGATAACCTTAAATTTTCTATCCATTATGACAAAATGATTATTCATTTCAGTAAGATTTTTTTGAGCAATTTGGATAATGTCAGAGCTTGTTAGCTATTGTGAGAACTTGGGAGAGCACCTGTAAACAGAGCAGATGATGGAAGCCTAATATAGGAAATTTCAGAAAGAAGTTGAATGTCCCTTAAAGACTTTATCAGGGATGTCCAATATTCTGAATTAAAAAAAAAAATCTGTGTTTCTGGTCAGCTGGAGCTGAAAAATTATCCATGATTAGCAAAAGACCAAAACTACTAAAATAAAACATCTACTTCGCTGGGATAGTTAATACTGATTGGCTAAGGTTGAAGAATCACCTAAGATTAAGAAGCAACCAGCATCATTGATATAAAATCTTCCAGGAAGAGTTTCTCAGGGTCAGTGCGGAGAAGCTTTACTCCAGAGGGGTCCAGTTGTATACCTCACTCAGGCAGATGAACTGGGTAATGTGTAAGTGTCACCCAACTGACACTTGTTTTGATGGTATGAAGGGTTCATGGAGCTCAATTGAGGCTTGGCACCGTGTGACAGGGATGGATTCCCTAAAGAGAGTCCAGAGGAGGCCATTAGTGAAGGTGCAGCCTCAGTGGTAGAAGAAGCTCCAGGATTGATTGACGCATGGAGAGAAGTTGAGGCTTAGTGGAATATCCCAGGCCAGAGTCCCTGAAGGAAACCCAGGAAAAGTTGCTGTTATGGTGATGCCAAGTTGCAGTGGAGATATGAAAATTTGGGAGATGTCAGTACTATGAAACCATTGCCAAGAGTAGCAATTGCTGTGGAGTGGAGCTTTTGAATTTCTGAGATGAACTGTGTTTTCCATGGTTGGCAGAACTAGAGAACTAGAATTGCCCAAGCCCTTTGGAACCTGGAGGATCATGAGTAGGTCCCAGACATGAATCACTGAATTATATCCACTGGTGGATATGCTTTCTTGGTTGATTATGACTGTGCCCTAGTTTTTCCTGTTTAAAATAAGAAGTATTGGGGGCTGGAGAGATGGCTCAGCAGTTAAGAGCACTGACTGCTCTTCCAGAGGTCCTGAGTTCAAATCCCAGCAACCACATGGTGGCTCACAACCATCTGTAATGAGATTGGATGCCCTCTTCTGGTGTGTCTGAAGACAGCTACAGTGTACTCATAAATAAAATAAATAAATAAATATTTTTAAAAAATAAGAAGTATTAACTTATTCTTTATATTTTCAAGAGTCCACAGTTAAGAGACTTGGGAATTTCAGAGAAATGTGTAATTTTATAGATTGAGAATTTTAGAAAGACTTTGGATATTTTAGTCAGAATTACATATTTAAGGTAAACTGAACTTAGAAAAAGATTTTTAATGTTTTAAATATAGTGAAATTTTTTGTTAATTAATTAATTAATTAACAAATTAATTAATTAATATCCAGCCACAGCTTCCCTTCCTTTCTCTCCTCCAAGTCTCTCCCTCTTTCCTCTCCTCCCCTCGTTCCTTCTTCCTCTCTCCTCAGAAAAGGGGAGTCCTCCCGTGGATATCAACTAGCCTTGGTATATCAAGTTGCAGTATGACTAGGTGCATTTTCTACTATTTAGGCTAGACAAGGAAACCCAGTTAGGGGAAAGGGATCCAAAGTCAGAAATACAATTAAAGACAGCCCTTGCTTCTGCTCTTAGGGGGCCCTACATGAAGACCAAGCTGCACATCCAAACTGTACAGAGGACGTAGGCCCATCCCAAGCATGCTTTTGTTTGGTAGTTCAGTCTCTATGAGCTCCAATGGGACCAGTTTAGTAGACTCTGTAGGTTTTCTTGTGGTGTCCTTGAACTTTCTGGATCCTTCAATCCTTCCCCTTCTTCCACAGGATTCCCCCAGCTCTGCCTGATGTTTGTCTGTAGGTCTCTATATCTGTTTCCATCACTTCCTAGGTGAAGCCTCTCAGATTACAGTTAGGCTCTTGTCTGCAAGTATAGAATAATTTAAATTGTAGTGCCATGGCATAGATCTCAAGATGGAGCAGGTTGGCCATACCTTCAATATCTGCTCCATCTTTATGACTGTATGTCTAGTAGGCAGGACAAAATTTGGGTTGAAGGTTTTGTGGCTTAGTTAGTGTCCCCATCTCTCCATCAGAACTCTTGTCTAGTTACATAAGGTGGCCATTTCAGCCTCTATATCACCCATTGCTATGAGTCTCAGCCAGAGTCACCCTCATAGATTCAGAGGAGTTTCCATTCAATGCAATCACCATCAAAATCCTGACACAGTTCTTTATAGACATTGAAAGCATAATAATCAACTTTATATGGAAAAATAAAAAAACCCAAGATAGCTAATACAATCCTGTATAACAGAAGAACTTCTTAACATACTACCAGACTCAGCAATACTTGAGGATGCAGTAGGATGGAAGAAATATGCAACCTTTTTAAAAAAAAAAAAAAACAGATAAGCAGATCAGATGTGGGTATTAGAACACGTTGTAAATGGCTCCATTACTATCTGGAATGACTTATGAGGGTAGGAATTCAATTCACCCAGGGCATACAAACAAACAAACAAACAACAACAGATAAAGCAAGTCAATTGAAGTTTTAGTATAAAGACATTTTCTTTACACACTTTTACCTTTACCTAATTTGTGCTATGGGGAGAATTTAGTGTAATGATGAAAGTTGGCAATAATGTATTTAAATTATGATGCTTCTCATATTCAAATCCCTCCTTATGTTTTTAACATCTTGAATTCAGTGATATCAGGTACATATAGTTAAAATGATATTATAATTAAAAGTATCTCATGTATTTGTGAAGTATCTCATATGCAAATACCTTTCAGCATTAGCTGCCTTGGGTACTAGTAATACTAGAAGGTAGATTTAAAAGGAAGAAAAAAATTGAAAAAAAGGAGAATAACTGACATTCAGATATATTTTAAGAGGTTGCCAGTTGACTTTTGTTCCTTTTATTTAAGTAATGAATCAATGAAAATACAATATTTTGGCCAGGCAGTGGTGGTGCATGCCTTTAATCCCAGCATCTGGGAGGCAGAGGCAGGCAGATTTCTGATTTCGAGGCCAGCCTGGTCTACAGAGTGAGTCCCAGGACAGAGAAACTCTGTCTCGAAAAACAAAACCAAACCAAAACAAAATAAAACAAAATACAATATTTTGAAGCATCACCAAAGCATTAGTAAGTTCATGTTTAATCATCCCAGTGCAACCTGTTTATATAACTTACATAAGTGCGTTTTCCCAGCAACTGTTACTCAGAGACTTGCTTTACTTGTGAAAGTACTACAGTTCAGATCTGTGTGCCTCCAACTCCTACAAAATGCTGAGCAGTATTAATTTTGTGTATTGCTTCTGTTGCCAAGGTCTAGGGTAGCCCTGGGATTCGTCAAGTCTGCACTGGAGGGGGTGATGCTGGCACATGTGAGG